TATTCTTCCCCCCAGGCTTCTCCTCATCTTGACTCCTCACAGTTGAGGAGGAAGCTAGGGGAAACTGCTTTGCACAGTTTTGACAGGAAAAGGTATGGTATTGCGGCCGCGGGGACCCGCACTAGAGATGCATCTGGCTATCAGATTGGGACTGAGCAGGGTTTGCCTACCACCCCCCACCCCATTCAATTCTGTCAGATTGATGCTGCAGCAAGACTCCACATGCGCCCCCCCCCCAACCTCACATGATACAAACCTGCCCACCCATAGTCCCGGCCCTGCTCCTCGTCCCCACATTATTTCCAATCGCCAGATGCGAGCAGGTGAGTGGAAATTTTGAGACTTGCATATATACAGTGAGGAACAGAAGTATTTGAACACCCTGCGATTTTGCAAGTTCTCCCACTTAGAAATCATGGAGGGGTATGAAATTCACATTGTAGGTGCATTCCCACTCTGAGAGACAGAATTTAAAAAAGAATTCAGGAAATCACATTGTATGATTTTTAAAGAATTTATTTGTCTTGCACTGCTGAACATAAGTATTTGAGCACCTAAGAAACAGCAAGAATTCTGGCTCTCAAAGACCTGTTACTGTGCCTCTAAAAAGTCCCCCTCTACTGCACTCATTAATCGAACTTAGTAGCACCTGTCTGTGCTTTTTAAAGACACCTGTCCACCCCACAGTCAGTCAGACGCCAACTACTACCATGGGCAAGACTAAAGAGCTGTCAAAAGACACCAGAGACAAAATTGTGGACCTCCACAAGGCTGGAAAGGGCTATGGGGCAATTGCCAAGCAGCTTGGTGAAAATAGATCAACTGTTGGAGCACTTGTTAGAAAATGGAAGAGGCTAAAGACGACTGTCAGTCTTCCTCGAACTGGGGCTGCATGCAAGATCTCACCTCATGGGGTATCACTGATGATAAGAAAGGTGAGGAATCGGCCCAGATCTACAAGGAAGGAGCTGGTCAATGACATGAAGAGAGCTGGGACCACAGTTTCAAAGGTCACTGTCGGTAGAACACTACGCCGTCATGGTTTCAAATCATGCATTGCATGGACGGTTCCCCTGCTCAAGTCATCACATGTCCAGGCCCGTCTGAAGTTTGCCAATGACCATCTGGATGATCCAGAGGAGGCATGGGAGAAAGTCACGTGGTCAGATGAGACCAAAGTAGAACTTTTTGGTCTAAACTTCACTCGTCGTGTTTGGAGGAAAAAGAAGGATGCATTTCAAGAACACCATCCCTACTGTGAAGCATGGGGGTGGTAAGGTCATGCTTTGGGGGGTGCTTTTCTGCGAAGGGGACAGGACGATTGCACTGTATTAAGGAGAGGATGAATGGGGCCATTTATTGCGAGATTTTGAGCAACTACCTCCTTCCCTCAGTCAGAGCATTGAAGATGGGTTGTGGCTGGGTCTTCCAACATGACAACGACCCGAAGCACACACCCAGGATAACCAAGGAGTGGCTCCGTAAGAAGCATATCAAGGTTCTGGGGTGGCCTAGCCAGTCTGCAGACCTAAATCCAATAGAACATCTTTGGTGGGAGCTGAAACTCCGTGTTGCTCAGCGACAGCCCCGAAACCTGACAGATCTAGAGGAGATCTGTACGGAGGAGTGGGCCAAAATCCTTGTTGCAGTGTATGCAAACCTGGTCAAGAACTACAGGAAACGTTTGACCTCTGTAATTGCAAACAAAGGCTTCTGTACTAAATATTAACACTGATTTTCTCAGGTGTTGAAATACTTATGTTCAGCAGTGCAAGACAAATACATTCTTTAAAAATCATACAATGTGATTTCCTGAATTTTTTTTTTAATTCTGTCTCTCAGAGTGGGAATGCACCTACTATGTGAATTTCAGACCCCTCTATGATTTCTAAGTGGGAGAACTTGCAAAATTGCAGGGTGTTCAAACACTTCTGTTCCTAACTCTATTATACATTCACATCAGTCCCTGCCCTCAAGGAGCTAAGGTCCTTATCTCACATTCATACATACTAGAGCCAATTTAGACAGGAACCAGTTAACCTACCAGCTTGTCTTTGTGTGGGAGGAAAAGCAGAGTACCCGGAGGAAACTCGCACAGGGAGAACATACAAACTCGAAACAGGTAGTGTCATGGTAGGGATTCATACCATCAAACTTAGTGCTGCCAGGCGGAAGTGCTAACCACTGTGCTGCACCTATTCTTGCCCAGGACTTGCTGGAGTGATCGCATTGCCGCTGTTGCAGAGACCTCCTCACCTTCACACAAATGAATGAGGATTTGTCTTTAGTTGTACTCTTGAATTGAAAATTAAGAACCATGTGACTTCACCCTTTTTGTAAGTAGGGTCCCTATGATAAGAATTAGCAAGTATGGCAGGTGTAAATACAAACCTTTTCTGGGGGGAAATCTATTTTTCATATTTTCTGCAGTTATGCAGATGCATAGTGAAGTTTGATACTAAAAGAATGGTTGGAGGAAGTGTGTTTTACAGCTTCTGGCATTTGCAGATGAAATAGGGTTTGTTAAGGCTATGTTTTTACTGCTGTAAGTTTAGATCAAATACTAGAAAAAGTGACGTTATACAAAGTCCCTCTTTCCTAAGCTTTCCTGATGGCAGACAATTGTTTTATGTCTATTAATATAGCAGAACCTCAGTCAAACTGTTAGATCAGGGGTCTTCAAGCCCTGACGTGTGCGATCAACACCTTTTCTGCCAGCACTAGGTGGAGCCTAACCCACTCACCTACCTACCCACCTCCCTGACATTTCAAAACCAAGTGGGTCTTTAGGGGTGGCCATACAGTATATGCCCCAATACTTGGAAGCCATTGGTTATTGAAGACACTGATAAAAATTATGGGGGGTTGCTACTGCAGAATCTAGTTTATAACACCATTATTTCATTATAAAATATTCCTTTTGGTTATTGAGAGTGAGAAGTAGACCTTTTGTTTTACATATCTTGCACTCTCAATTTCAAGCACTTTTAGTCAAACTAAGCTCAAATGGTTTCCCACCCCTGCGGAAGATACACCATTCTTAGGACGCTCTGTAAAATCTACATAAAAACAGAATGCAATGATTTGCAAATCTCATAAACCCACATTTTATTTACAATAGTAAACATATCAAATGTTTAAACTGAGAAAATGTACCACTTCAAGAAATAAATAAGAGAATTTTAACATTGATGGCAGCAACATGCCTCAAAAAAGTTGCGACAGGCCAACAAAAAGCTGGTAAAGCAAGTGGTACTTACCAGAAAGAGCTGGAAGAACATTTTGCAAATATTTAGGTTAATTGGCAACAGGTCAGTAACATGACTGAATATAAAAATAGCATCTCGGAGAGTAAGAGTATCTCAAAAGTAAAGATGGGCAAAAGTTCACCAATCTGTGAAAAGCTGTGTCTAAAAATTATCAAACAATTTCAGAGTAATGTTCCTCAATGTATAATTTCAAAGACTTTAAAAAATATCATCTACAGTGCATAATATCATCAAAAAATTCAGAGAGTCTGGAGAAATCTCTGTGCACAAGGGACAAGACCGAAATGCAATATTGGATGCCTGTGATCCTCTGGTCCTCAGGCGGCACTGCATTCGAAACAGGCATGATTCGTTGATGGACATCACTGCATGGGCTCAGGAACACTTCCAAAAATCTGAACACAGTTCACCGTTCCATCCAGACATGCAAAGTAAAACTCCATCATGCAAAGAAGAAGCCATATCTGACCATGATCCAGAAACACTGCCATCTTCTCTGGGCCAATAGCAGGTAAGAATGGGACGAAATTCTTTTCCTAAAACTCCAGAAATTGGTCCACTAAGTTCCCAGAAGTATATAGAGTTTTGTTAAAAGAAGATGGAATGCTACACTGTGGTAAACTTAGCACTGTCCCAACTTTTTTGAGACATGTTGCTGACATCAGTTTCAAAAGTATCTTATTTTTTTTCTTAAAATGGTACATTTTCTTTAGTTTAAACATTGTTTTCTATTTTTTATTGTTAATAAAATATGGGTTTATGAGATTTGCAAATCATTGTATTCTATTTGATTTTACATGGCGTCCCAACTTTTTTGGAATTGGGGTTGTATGAGTGTACCTGCCATTGTATTATTAATTCAGTTTTGCCACTTGTGATTCACAGCACCCACCTCACTGCATAGCATAGCTTAGATGCTTATTACTGTACCTCTGCAGCTTCTTGTGTTAACTGCTAACTCATGAATACGCCTTTCCTCACGCCTGAGATGCTGTTCTCCTCCTGTAGGTTCCATAGATACTTTTTGCCTCTGTATCCTAGTTAAGTCAGTAGGATTGTTCAGTGCAACAGATCTTGAGCAATTCACAGAATAGGAATACCATGGATTTCAGGCAGATATACTAGCGTGTTAAAAAAAAGTCATAACTGGATTAAAAGTTTTTTGCTTTTTTACAATTGTTATGAAGTCTGCTTTTAACTAACAATTATTATATGCTTTTAAGTTTTAATGAGGACATGTTTATATGTCAAAAAACATAAAAACCCTCTTGCCCAGTAATTTTTGACTGTTCAAAAATCTACCACCACAAGGGGACTGCGTGTGGATCTTATTTTCAATCATTTGTGTCAAGGAAACATGGAACATTTACCGATAGCAAATCATCTTACATTATATGTCCAAAGGTTTATGGGTACCTGAGCATTATGGCCACCCTATGGCAAAAATGTACGTGGGCATCCCTCCAAATGATTGAGTTCAGATGTTTCCAGGCTGCATGTACACTCAGACTGCTGTGCCAGCCACCCCAGTGTCTCTGATCACTCTCCCTGTGTCCCTGATCACTGCCCACTGTAGTCCTAATAAATAATGCAGCCAGCCCCTGTCACCTGTCCCAGCACTCACAATAACACCACCATACACCATACCAGCACCCTGAACACTGCCATATGCCATACCAGCACCCTGATCAATGCTACATGTCATACCAACACCCTGATCACCACCATACTCCATACCAGCACCCTTATCACCGCCATACACCATACTAGCATCCTGATCACCGCCATACCAGCATCCTGATCACCCCATATGCCGTACCAGCATCCTGATCACCACTATTCCCCATACCAGCATCCTGATCACCTCATATGCCATACCAGCATCCTGATCACCTCCATACCTCATACCAGCGTCCTGATCACCGTGATACCCCACACCAACGTCCTGATCACCGTGATACCCCACACCAACGTCCTGATCACTGCCATACCCCATACCAGCATCCTGATCACTGCCATACCAGCATCCTGATCACTGCCATGCCTCATACCAACGTCCTGATAACCGCAATACCCCATACCAGTGTCCTGATCACTGCCATAACCCATACCAGCACCCTGATCACCGCTATACCCCATACCAGCATTTTGATCACTCTATATCCAATACCAGTGTCTTGTTCCCCGCCATACCCCATATCAGCATTCTGAACACCCTATATGCCTTACCAGCATCCTGATCTCAGACCATACCTCATACCAGCGTGCTGATCACCGCGATACCCCATACCAGCATCCTGATCACCACCATATCTCATACTAGCGTCCTGATCACCACCATACCTCATACCAGCATTCTGATCACTGCAATACCCCATACCAGCTCCCTGATCACTGCCATACCCTATACCAGCATCCTGATCACCGCCATACCCCATACCAGCGTCTGGCATTTTAGGGCCTCAACTGATCAATTTTGGAATATATATACCATAGTTCGTAGACTATAGCTTTCATACAGCCTAAATAATATACACTGTTTTGGGTTATTTTTACCTAGAAAATGTAGCAGAATACATTATGACCGAAATTTACAAAGAAACGTTATTTGCAAAATTTGGTATTTTTTCATTTGTATGGCAACACATAAAAAACCCAGTAGTGATCAAATAGCACCAAAATAAAGCACTATTCTGTCTCAAAAAATAATCAAAAAATTTCATATGTGTACAGTGTTGCATGACTGAGTAATTGTCACTCAAAGTATGATAGTGCAGAAAGCTGAAAATTGGCCTGGACTGGAAGGGGGTGAAAGTATCCGGACTTGAAGTGGTTGAAAAAGAACTTCATTCCACCTGTGTGGTTTTGTTTTTTTTTTTCCCCTCACTTACTTAAACATACTTGCACACACAGAAAATTGAGATTTATCTAGTGTAACCTGCTTCTTCACTGTCACACAGGGTCCTGCACTGCCATCTTTTTTCTGACAGTATCAGTGGCCCAGCTGTCTGTTCTGAGTTCTTGCAGCCAGTCCACTGATGATTCGATTTGAGGTACAGTCAGGTCCATAAATATTGGGACATCAACACAATTCTAACATTTTTGGCTCTATACACCACCACAATGGATTTGAAATGAAACGAACAAAATGTGCTTTAACTGCAGACTGTCAGCTTTAATTTAAGGGTATTTACATCCAAATCAGGTGAACGGTGTAGGAATTACAACAGTTTGCATATGTGCCTCCCACTTCTTAAGGGACCAAAAGTAATGGGACAATTGGCTTCTCAGCTGTTCCATGGCCAGGTGTGTGTTATTCCTTTATTATCCCAATTACAATGAGCAGATAAAAGGTCCAGAGTTCATTTCGAGTGTGCTATTTGCATTTGGAATCTGTTGCTGTCAACTCTGAAGATGAGATCCAAAGAGCTGTCACTATCAGTGAAGCAAGCCATCATTAGGCTGAAAAAACAAATCAAACCCATCAGAGAGATAGCAAAAACATTAGGCGTGGCCAAAACAACTGTTTGGAACATTCTTAAAAAGAATGAACGCACCAGTGAGCTCAGCAACACCAAAAGACCCGGAAGACCACGGCAAACAACTGTGGTGGATGACCAAAGAATTCTTTCCCTGGTAAAGAAAACACCCTTCACAACAGTTGGCCAGATCAAGAACACTCTCCAGGAGGTAGGTGTATGTGTGTCAAAGTCAACAATCAAGAGAAGACTTCACCAGAGTGAATACAGAGGGTTCACCACAAGATGGAAACCATTGGTGAGCCTCAAAAACAGGAAGGCCAGATTAGAGTTTGCCAAACGACATCTAAAACAGCCTTCACAGTTCTGGAACAACATCCTATGGACAGATGAGACCAAGATCAACTTGTACCAGAGTGATGGGAAGAGAAGAGTATGGAGAAGGAAAGGAACTGCTCATGATCCTAAGCATACCACCTCATCAGTGAAGCATGGTGGTGGTAGTGTCATGGCGTGGGCATGTATGGCTGCCAATGGAACTGGTTCTCTTGTATTTATTGATGATGTGACTGCTGACAAAAGCAGCAGGATGAATTCTGAAGTGTTTCAGGCAATATTATCTGCTCCTATTCAGCCAAATGCTTCAGAACTCATTGGACGCCGCTTCACAGTGCAGATGGACAATGACCCAAAGCATACTGCAAAAGCAACCAAAGAGTTTTTTAAGGGAAAAAAGTGGAATGTTATGCAATGGCCAAGTCAATCACCTGACCTGAATCCGATTGAGCATGCATTTCACTTGCTGAAGACAAAACTGAAGGGAAAATGCCCCAAGAACAAGCAGGAACTGAAGACAGTTGCAGTAGAGGCCTGGCAGAGCATCACCAGGGATGAAACCCAGCGTCTGGTGATGTCTATGCATTCCAGACTTCAGGCTGTAATTGACTGCAAAGGATTTGCAACCAAGTATTAAAAAGTGAAAGTTTGATTTATGATTATTATTCTGTCCCATTACTTTTGGTCCCTTCACAAGTGGGAGGCACATATGCAAACTGTTGTAATTCCTACACCGTTCACCTGATTTGGATGTAAATACCCTCAAATTAAAGCTGACAGTCTGCAGTTAAAGCACATTTTGTTTGTTTCATTTCAAATCCATTGTGGTGGTGTATAGAGCAAAAAATGTTAGAATTGTGTTGATGTCCCAATATTTATGGACCTGATTGTACATTATTCTTGCCTAGGTATTTAGGGGAAATTTTTGTGTTTTCAATGTCTGATTTGTATAACAGGAAGGAGGAAGAGTAAATAAGTTGCATAAAAAGGGTGAAGGTCCGCCTTAGGTAGCCAAGTACTATTTGGTTATAGATACATGCAGGTGAACCCTTTGTCATACTCTCTCATTGTGATACTCCTCTCTCATATGGAACTGAATTCAGACAAGAAATGCTCTCTTCAAAAAGTGGCATCAAGGTGAAAAAAAGAGAAGCGTTCTTCAATCTCAACATTGATAATGAATGCAAGAAGTGAAAAATGCTCGCTGCCCAACATCACCTAGTGCAAGCTGGAAGAGTGATTGGGGAATAATGAAGAAAGCCTCTAACTTCTCCCTTGCCCTAGAATTGAGCAGTGCTCATGTCATACACCTGTCACACCTACATCTTATATAAACGGTCTCCTCAGTCCCTCAATCAGTGTTTTTGTGCAGCTACAGTCAGCACAAATGGTATGTCTGCCCTGGTAAAAAATGGAGGAGTAGATTAAATTGAGTGATCCCTCTTACATTTGCACAGTTTAAAAAGCTCAGTGACCACTTTCACTTGTTGCATAGAGCAGCCTTTTTCAACCAGGGTGCCTTGAGGTTTCTTTAGGGTTGCCTTAGCAAAATGTCTGAAAATTGACCAAAACTTGTATACAAGCCAGCAGGTAGAAAAAGCGTGCCTTTTAGTTACACAAAGCCACAGGTTTTCATTGTGCACCATTACAACCTTCTAGCCTCTGGCATCCTCACAACCATTACCGTCATCAGTTGATAAGGAGGATGTCAGTTGCCTGCCCAGCATCCTTGTTTGACCCTTTCTTGCCCCCCTCTATCAGTGCTGGGGTAACATCAGCTCAGTGATGGAGAAAAACTGAGGGCTAAGAGAAACATTATAATTCTAGTCAGTACCAGTGTGCAAAAAGTGTATTTGCTTTTGAAGAATAAATTACCCTTAACATTGGGTGTCCTACGTGTGTGTGGATGTTGACGCATTATGTAATACTATTAGACTAGTTTTTTGCATTATAGAATGGGGTGCCTCAAGACTGTCCATAATTTTAAAGGGTGCCTCAGGACTGTCTTAAAATTTTAAAGGGTGCCTTGCCTCAAAAAAGGTTGAGAAACAATGGCCTAGACAAGCACAAGTCTGATTTAGGTGATTTTTGTAATATCCAATTTTATAGGCTATGGTTATTTGAAATATGTAAAGTTCAATTTTATGATCCTACCAGCTTAAGTCTTTTCCTCTCTCTCAACATACATGCCTTTTTAAGCTGTCTCCTGGCCTTTCACACAACTTGTGGGGTCCTCTTCCTCTTCTGTTTTCTCAAGCAGTGGATAGTGCTGAATGGTGTAGAGAATGGACTTGCATAGTAATGTGGTTGGCAGTCTCTGCATCTACTGTGAGCCCTGGCCTGCATAACGATGCGCCCCTGGAGGTATGTCTCTGGTGGCCTGGGTTCACAAGAAGTGGATTGAATGATGTTGGGCTGAACCAGTGAGTCTTTAGAAATGGCAATGCACCTTTTTGCACTTTTTTTAATTCCTTTTTAAAAAAAACTTGTTTTACTTTAAATGTATGATTTTAGATGTTGCAAAAATGCAATAGCTTAAATGGTTTCCTTTTCCCATTACAAAGAAAAAAAAAAACTTGGAAGACACTGGTTAACAGCCAAGTGATTGTGAGCAGTGAATGAATATAACAGGCAGTATCACAACTCTTGCTAAATAATTGTCTTACAATGCCACGTAGTAGTTGTACTTTGTGATCACTGGCAACGCTGAGAAATCTGCACCATTCTACCTTTCTGTCATAGCTTTCTTTTGACACCTGACAGTTCTTTCAACTGCTCTGAAGCCATCTGACATCATGTACTAAGATGGATCTGATTTACTCCACTACACAGTTCATTTAGGCAGCCAAGATAGCTAAATGACACACAATGTTCTCTTGCCAACATACACTGCTTACTGTAGTGATTTCTCGAACAAAACTTCACTGCACCAATTGGGTGCAGGAATCGACTGCTGTGCAAAGGTACCTCCCATGCCCACCACCTTTTCCCTATGGTATGTGAACGCCACGTAGATACTCTAACTTTACCCCTTCTTCACAAAAACATAATAATAAATGGTAGTGTGAAGCTTCCCTTTCCTACTCTTCTTTTTTTGCAGCATATAGTTTTCAACAATCTACAGATGCTCTATAAATAACTGTTTGCGTGAGTGGTGCAGCAATAAACCTTGAAATTCATTGCACCCTCCCTTCAGTCTCTGTGTGCACATTCCACAGCATTAAACAAAACTCTGTTCTTTGGCAGCTCCTACAATAGTTAAAGGATAATAACATGGGGATGAGTCTGCCCCAGTCCCAGAAGAGCAGTAGGATCATTGCACATGTATGCATGCTGATGACATTTCATACCTGTTCCGTATCAGCCCCCTTCTCCACACCAAAAGTACTCTCTCAGCGGGGTAACGGGAAAAAGACCCAGCAGCAAAGAGATTACCGAGGACACATTTCTCTTCCTATGGCTTCTCTTTATTGCCGTCCTATTTTATTTCTAAAATATCTCATTGTGCTGTCACCGCTAATGGCTAATGTTAG